TGGCCAGAGGAGGAGCCAGTAACCCAGCAACCTCCCAGAACCTGGATTGGACATTGTGACAAGTGACTTGAGGGGTGGGGAAGAAAGGGAAATCTTTTACTTTTTAATTAGGTGAAAGCCGCGGGAAACCTCAGAGTCGTCTTTCACCAGTTTGTGCCAATATATATGATGTATCCAAAAAAACCTGTTCTTTGAGGAACTCGAGGGATGCATTACTTGGAATCCTGACAACAGTGACTAAATGCTGTGAGGTCTACTTCTGAGCAAACACGCATAGAATTCTATCCAGAGTTTTACTGATTTTACTAAGATAGTATCAACTGCAAAGTACTTAAAATTTGCTTGAGACATCATTACTTTTTACCTGGCTGTGAATGCTCTTACAATTTTAAATGAGCGCTCTGCACTTGGGAATTAATATTCTCCCAGTTAAGCTCCACTAATCTGTCTTGGCTAGATGCATTAATTAAGACATTGATTTTTTTTTCTTTTTTGATCCCATCATATTTTTCGGTTCCTCTTTTTTAATGAAATAATAAATTGCGGGAGACTTGCAATAGTAACTACTTGAATTTCTGTGACAGAGAATAATGAACTTTGCCAAAGTCTCATTAAAGCAGTCATTGGGGGAGAGGAGGCACTTTGTCTTTTTCCTGTAATCCTAAAAAAAAAAAAAGACCAGGCTGCTTTAATGAGTTGATGTACTGTAGTTAATTGGGCTTTTAAAGAAGCTATGCTTGTTTTTTTATTAATTAAAAGAAGCTTTTACATTCCTGTTGTTTCTGCTTTTAATATGTTCATGAGCCATGGTGGCACAGTGGTTAGAATGCAGTACTGCAGGCCACTTCTGCTGACTGCTGGCTGCCTGCATTTTGGTGGTTCAAATCTCACCAGGTTCAAGGTTGACCAACCTTCCTTCTTTCCAAGGTGGGTCAAATGAGGATCCAGTTGGTTGAGGGCAATTATGCTGACTCTGTAAACTGCTTAGAGAGGGCTGTAAAGCACTGTGAAGTGATATATAAGTCTAAGTTATTGGTTATTAAAATCCATGAATCAGCAGACTCTTTAAAGATTCCATTATTCCATTGGTCAATTCAATGGTATTTCTGAATGGTGGATGTCATGAGTTGACCAGTTAGTGGGTTGCTTGTGGTTAGGAAATACCAGAAGATTCTTCTTTCAAAGCCAAGAAGAGAATGTTCAGTTTTAATATTGTGAGATTCTGTAGTGATAAGGCCAATTAAATATTCTCAAAGAACGTTTATTCCCAAATTCCTGCAATTAAAACTAAAAGCAAAGCTACCTGTGCAGAGTGAATAAGATGAAGCTTGGTTGCTCAAGATTTGTGCCCATGAATGAATCCTACGAAGGGATTCTTTCAATGATGAAAGGGCTAAAGATACAATGGGCTTTACTTCTTACCTGCATTGGAAAGAATAGGATGACCCAGTATAAAATTCAGTAAGATACACCATTGATAGACCTTCAGTTTGGTACCTATTGGCTGAGAATACTTGTAATTCAAATCAGTCAGAATAGAACTCGAAGGGACCTTGGAGGTCTTCTAGTCCAGCCCCCTGCTCAAGCAGGAAGACCCTATACCATTTCAGACAAGTGGCTGTCCAGTTTTTTCTTAAAAACCTCCAGTGATGAAGCACCCACATCTTTTGAATGCAAGCCATTCCACTGGTTAATTGTTCTCACCATTAGGAAGTTTCTCCTTAATTCCAGGTTGCATCTCTCCTTGATTAATTTCCAGTCATTGCTATTTGTCTTGCCTTCTGGTGCTTTGGAAAATAGGTTGCCACTCCCCCCTCTATTTTGTGGCAGCCCCTCAAATACTGGAACACTGCTATCATATCACCTCTAGTCCTTCTTTTCTCTAGATTATCCATACCCAATTCCATCAACCGTTCATGTGTTTTAGTCTCCAGGCCTTTAATCATCTTAGTTGCTCTTTGCACTTTTTCCAAAGTCTCAACATCTTTTTTGTAACGTGGCAGCCAAAACTGGATGTGGTATTCCAGGTATGGTCTTACTAAGGATTTATAAAGTGGTACTAATATTTCAGGTGATTTTGATTCTATGTCTCTGTTCCAACCATCTTGAAGATTCCAATTTTGGAGAAGATTGAGTAGACCTAGAACTGCCAATCCAAACCCTCTGTTTGGTCACATAAGTCAATATTAGGCCAAGCAATCTATCTTATTTTCACCTATCTCATTACATGGTTCAAATCTAGGATTTTAAAATTTTAATATTACTAACATTGATAGGTGATGGCTTCCCACAGCTTCAGATAGAATGACCGTACCTAATTCATTGGATCCAATTCTTTTATCTAGACATGCTCACAGATGACCAAGGATAGAAACCTTCCCTGCTTCCACTTTTGCAGATCACTTCAACCTTCTCCTTGTTCTTTTTTTGACACCACAGTTATATTCTCCACATTACAGCTCAATTCTGATGTGATTATTGTTCATTTTTTTCACGCAGGCACACATAAACACCCCCCGCCTCATTGCCTTGGATTTATACCTCCATGTCCTTCTGCTCTACTAATATGATTAAAAGCTCAGCGGGGTGTGAGGGTAGGAGAGGGATGGAGCCCCTCCCCCAATTATTACATATGGTTTTCCAGCACACACACAAAACCTTTTAATTGATGTCAATTCCTTGTGCAGATAATTGACTCTGTGACTAATATGTAGAATGTAAATGCAGAGAGAAAATAGAAAGTCAAGGACAATTTATTCAGATCAAGCCATGTGATTCTTTTCAGAAAATGTGGATCAAATCAGCATTCATCCAGAACCTGTAATTTGAAAGGGTAGATTGGATTGAGAGGGCTAAGGGCCTCGGGAGACCATCTGGTTGCCAGAAATAAACAAACAACAACCTTCCCCCCACAAATCTTCCCTATTAAGATTTTAAGGACATAGCAAAAGGTTTACCTTCATATCAACTCTTACCTGTTGGCTGAAGCATAACGCTAATAAGCAAACAGTCATTTATTGCATGGGAGCATGAAGTTCTGAAGTGACCTTCCAGATTCTATATGTGCCCTAGAATAGAATAGAATAGAATAGAATAGAATAGAATAGAATAGAATAAGGGAAGGAAAGGGAAGGGAAGGGAAGGGAAGGGAAGGGAAGGGAAGAGAAGAGAAGAGAAGAGAAGAGAAGAGAAGAGAAGAGAAGAGAAGAGAAGAGAAGAGAAGAGAAGAGAAGGGATCTGGAAGGGATCTGGAAGGGATCTGGAAGGGATCTTGGAGGTCTTCCAGTCCAACTGCCTGTTCAGCCAGGAGAACCAGATCTCAGACAAATGGCTGTCCAGTCTCTTCTTCAAAATCTCCAGGGATGAAGGACTCACAACTTGTGAAGACAAACTATTCCACTGGTTAATTGTTCTCACTGTTAAGAAATTTCTCCTTAGTTCCAGGTTGCTTCTCTCCTTGATTAGTTTCCACCCGTTGTTTCTTGTCCTGCCCCCTGGTGTTTTGGAAAGGAAGTTGACCCCTTCTTTGTGGCAGCCCCTCCCCACCTGGAATACCCCTAGTCTTTCTTTTCTCTAGTCTAACCATACCCAAATCCTGCCATTGTTCTTCGTGTGTTATAGTCTCCAGGTTTTTAATCATCTTAGTTGCTCTTCTTTTCACTTTTTCCAAAGTCTCCACATCTTTTTTGTAACAGGAGGAGCAAAACTGGATCTGGTATTCCAGGTGTGGTCTTATTAAGGGTTTTATTTTAGGGTTCAGGTCAGAGTTTGAATCACTGGGGCTTATTCTGTGAGTCTAAACTCAGTGTCTTTTGTGGGAGCCAGTCTCACAGTTACTGCCACCTCCAAATCACTCTGATTTTAGCCACAATCCAAGAGCTGAAGCATTGTGGGTTAGTAGCCTTCACAATTCCCCAATCAAAGGGATTGTCAAGGAATATTAGAAGGATTCAAAGGACAGAAGTGGTTTATACCAGCGACTCTTTCTTTGGTTTCAAACACAACGTGTTCAAAGAGCACTTAGTGATGTAAGGACTTGTCGAGGGCTGGGAGTACTGGGTGTCTTTAACAAAAGAATAAAAACATGTTTTTGAAACTGAAACCACTCTATCAGCTGGGTGAGATCTGTTCATTCAATCTTCACAATGCAGCAATCAAATGGGGGAACAGTTGCATCCCTTATAGGAAGATCAAATGCATTAGCTACGGGCAAATATGAAAGGAAGTCCAAGATAATTTGGAACAGAAAATGCAAATTGCAGTCTATTGCAGAGCGCAGAAACAAGTTGTTATGGGTCAAAAACCACCTCTTGAGAGATATAATCTATTTCTGTAATGATCAATCCAGATGTTGAGCCAAATTCCTGCCTTATTATCCAGCTACATTCAGCCTGCAAGCCTAGGAACTCTCCATGGTCCTGGCCCACAACCACTGATTTATTACACTCTGCCCAAGAACAAGCTACTACTACTAAACTCCTCCTCCCATAAAAAGAGGAAAAATCCTGTAGCAATTTTTGTTCTTCTAGAAAACCAATATCGGAGTGAAAAGGTGGCATTTCAGATCTTGGTTTAAAAAAAAAAACTTATTTCAAAATCTCCATTTTTTTATTATTCAACTGTTATTCAGCAATATACAATACAGTTTATAAACAAATGTCTTACCTTGTTTCCAATCTTTTATTTTTTTTTCTATTTAAAAATAAATATTATTGACAGTGAATAGCCATCACGGTAACATGTGCCTTTTTTTTAAAATCAATGTTTTCAAAAAGAAATAATTTAAAAAGGAGTGTGGAGAGGGAGGCAATGATAATAATAATAATAATCCTAACCACAAGTATCTATTTAAAAAAAAAAAGAACCTTCCTTCAGAAGAGCTTTGCCTCTTCCTGTTCAACAGTTCGTGCAAAATTAATTACCAGAGGAAATATTTTTTTTTTTTAAAAAGAAAACAATTGCAAAAGGAAAAGAGAAAATTATAGCTACCTTGTGTGAAATAGGGCATTGATGCCACAGGATCTTAAAACTAAATTTATCATGTCAGGTGACAAGCCTTTCATGTAATGTCCCCAAAAATATGCTTTACCCTTCCCCTGTGGGATGTGTCATGCTTCCTTTCCAGTCTTTCTCTGTCCATCTTTTAAGACTGTAGTTCTTGTTGAGGGTTGTTGCCTTGTTCATTTTGCTCTAGTCGTGGTCTCATCCATTTGGCTGAGGATTATTGGATAAAGAAGTCCATCAGTGGTTTAATAACAAGTGTACAAGCTTATGCAGCGTGAAGAGGAGCGTACAGAAGAATGAGTGAGTGGCATAAATAGGTTCTGTACCTAGGGAAAAGAGAACGAAGGAAAATATCAGAGGAGGGAAGGAGAGAAAAACGAAGTTTAATTGGAAATTATTGGCACAGCATTTAGGGCAGAATTATTGGTCAATTACCTTGTTGTAGTTTGGAAGAGAAAGGCATGGAAATGATAGAGAGATAGATAGAAAAAGAGATAACAGAACAACAGAGCTGGAAGGGACTGTTGGGGTTTTCTGGTCTCCTGCTCTAACAGGAGATCTTATACCACTTCAGACAAGTGGTTGTCCAATCTCTTCTTTAAAACCCCAAGTGATGCAGCACACACAACTTCTCAAAACAAGCTGTTCCACTGGTTAGTTGTTCCCACCATCAGGAAATTTCTGTTTAATTCTAGGTTAGATCTCTCCTTGATTAGTTTCAATCCATTGCATCTTAGCCTGCCTTCAGGTGCTTTGGATAATAGATTGACCCCCTCTTCCCTTTAGATATTGGAAGACTGCTATCATGCCACCCCTAATCTTTATTCTCATGAAAGTAGACATGCCAAATTCCTGTAACATATCTTTATACACGTATACAGTCCCTTAATCATAGATAGATAGTTATGGAGAGAAATTGAGAGAAATAAATAGAGGTAGAGGTAAGAGATAGAGAGGGATAAAGATGGTAGAGATAGATGTCTATGGAGATTCTCAGTCATCCAGGTCATGGTTGTCCCAAAGGTGCTTTTCCAAGAGGCAATTGGACTTTTTTTTGTTTTTGTTTGAAGTCATTTCACGTCTCATCCAAGAAGCTTCTTCAGCTTTTTCAAGAAGCAATTGGACTTTCTTGTTTTTCCCTTGAAGATGTTTCGCTTCTCATCCAAGAAGCTTCTTCAGCTCTGACTGGATGATGGATGAGGAATTGAAACCAGTCAGAGCTGAAGAAGCTTCTTGAATGAGAAGCGAAACGTCTTCAAAGAACAACAAGTAAGTCCAATTGCCTCTTGAAAAAGCACCTTTGGAAGATGGTAGAGGTAGTGATGGCATGTGTAGGGAACTAAAACACCACACAGTAAAAAACAGACATGGCAATATAGTGTATTCAGCCTAAAAACAAAGTTATATACTGTAGGTGCATCCATTCACCATCCTATAATTTGGAGTCTAGAGATGCAGATGTTTCACAATGAAGAATTGTGCAAGGATCCACGAAGCCTATGGGAGACAAAGAACACAGCTGGAATGGCAAGAATTTCAGATCACTCCAACCATTCATAAATTTGTGGGAGTGCCATCGCTTGAGACTTTCAAGAAGAGATTGGACTGCCATTTGTCAGAAATGGTGTAGGGTCTCCCGCTTGGGCGTGGGGTTGGACTAGATGACCCACAAGGTCCCTTCCAACTCTGATTATTTGTTCAATTATCTGTTAAATTACCTGTCTGTATGTGCAGGAGCTTTGATTATAGGTAATCCTTGTTTAGCAACCACATTGAAGCAGCAACTTGACTGTTAAGTGAAGCTGTTGCTTAATGAAACCATGACCATGTTTATGACCGGATTTCACCTTTGCTTTGCTTTATAGGTCTACAAAATGAGAAGGTTGCTTGTAAAGTTACTTCTTTGTCGCTGCTGAATCTGCAAATGGTTGCTAAATGAGGCCATTGCTAAACAAGGATTAAGTGTATTCACAAAAATTGCTACTGCAGTGGACATGGCCTGTCAAAAATCATCAATTTGCCAAAAGGCACAAATGCTTTCTAAGATGTACTACACAGCCACAAATTCTTCCTTGTTGTCTCTCCCCTTCCTTGTAGGGAGGAGGGTTTAATTCCAAACAAAAAGCCATTTTTTTAAATTTTTGAGAATGCCTCCATGACAGATGCAAAGCGATTCTTCAGATCAAGGTAATACGAGAGGCATCTTGCTTTTTTGCAGCATCTCAGATTCCCTTTTAATTTTTATTTCTAATTAAAGCAACCTTTTAAAAGCAAGAAGGGAAGCCAAGTGACCCAATGTGGGTTGCATTGCCTGCCACTGCATCTAATTAAAAAAAAAAGTTGGGTGAAATTTAAGATCTCAAAAGCTTTCTGCAAAAGGAAAGCAGCAGGCTACCTGATGGTGGCGCTAGAGAGCTACAACTTAGATGGACAATATGTCATTTGCAATAATATACATGACCTCTAGATGGCAGAAAAGACACACAAAACCTCCAACATTGTGGGTTCTCTGGAATTTTTTCCCCCAGGCCACATTAATAAATCCAGTGTGGCAGAAAATCAGTTCCTAGAAGCTTCTGATTCTTACTCCTATCCTTAAAATTTGGAATGACAAAGAATGGATGATAGATAAGTAGATGATACATATATTTAGATAGATGAGAGAGAGAGAGGGGGAGGGAGGGAGGGAGGGAGAGGCAGAGGGAGAGGGAGAGAGAGGGAGAGAGTAGATAGATGAGAGAGATACTGTAGATGATAGATATAGATAGATGATATAGATATATATTTAGATAGATAGATGAGAGAGATGATAAATAGATGATAGAGATAGGTAGATAAACTGAAATATACAAAAATAAAACAATTGGCTATTTTTAAACAGCTAGTTCTTAGAATAAACGGGTCCCTACACCCTAAAGCAACTGATAGGATTGTGTCTTTTTAAAATATATAGAACTGAATTGGCACCGAGGTTCCAGGAAACTAAAAGACAAGATGGCTTGATTCCAGCATTTCTTGATTAATAGGATGTGAACCAATGTTGTCTTTGGCTACGGGAAGCAAGATTCACCTTGACAATTTCCATTATAGGAAGATAATACATTTTCTGGATAGGCTATACATATACCAAGTTAAAAACAAATAAACCTATATGGGATAAATAAATCTAGACATAGGGCCTCAAGGACAATTAAATAACATGCAAGTCAGTAAGCACAAAATACAGAATGCTGGCTAAGATAAGCCTTTGGCTGATGTGGTACGACTTCTTTATTGATTGTGTTCCTTGGGGCAACATACATGTTTCTATTCCTTGCCAACTTTTATGCTCAGCACTCCTCCAAAGCCAAGCTGTGAAAATACGATTAGCTTAAACCACACCACGAAATTCATCGCTGGGTAAAGGTTAGAACCCAAAACTATCCAGTTTTAATTCAGACCGTTATTTCTACACTTTTCTGCTTTTGCATCCCATTCATCTTTTTGACGAAGTTGCCCTGTATCTGGAAAAGACTTGTCTGTAGGGGAATCTGTAGCTTCAAACATTTGGACTCTTGTCAACCTTGTCAAACTAGTTAGTGACCCATTGCTCTATTTCAGTGCAAAACAGTTTTTTTTCATAATCCAGTACATGGATGACTTTATAATTAAGACTAAGACTGCAGTATAATGAAGACCTAGGAGCCCTGGTGGCACAGTGGTTAGAATGCAGTATTGCAGGCTGCAGCCAGTAGTTTGATTCTGACCAGCTGAAGGTTGACTCAGCCTTCTATCCTTCTGAGGTTAGTAAAATGAAGAGCCAGATTGTTGTAGGTAAGAAGCTGACATTGTAAACCATCCAAGTGCTATAGCTATTGCTAAGTTCTGGATTTTCCTTGGTTGATAGTTCATCTCAGATCAAGGGAAAAGAGAGAGAGAGAGAGAGAGAAAAGAGAGAGACATAAAGAGAGATAAAAAGAAAGGGAGGGAGAGGGGGAGAGAGATAGAGAGAGGGAGAGGGAGAGGGAGAGGGAGGGAGAGGGAGAGAGATAAAGAAAGGGGGAGAGAGAGAAGGAGGAAAAAAAATACTTTCCCTCTCGTTGCTGCCTTTGAATGTTTTTATTAAAAAAAAAAAATCTGTCAATCGATATCGCTCAGTTCCAAGTCTGCTGCTCTGCTATTAGATTTCAGTACAATCCAATTTGCAAAAGTTTTCCAAGAAGCTCCTGGCAGGAAGACAGCTAACCTCCTTTGCTCGTGGGCAATTTTTAATTAAAAGCTTTGCATAATTTTTGATACTGGTTGCCCTTCGGTGGCTTGGCTCTGTTACCAAGAGAATTGGAGGATTTGCTTCAACTTCCAGATCTTGTTTCTTGGTTTGTTTGTTTTCTGTTTTTTTTTAAAAAAAGCTAACCAGCTTTTTTTTTTTTTTAAAAAAAGAAAGCTCACTTCTTGCTTCCTGAATCCAGAAAAGCAGAAGGAAACCACTTTTGAAGATAATACAGGTAGTCCTTGACTTACACTTACAATTGTGCCCAAAATTCCCATCTAATTCCAGGAGAGGTTAGATTGGCTCTCTGGAATCTCTCCAGGGAGAAGAGTTTGACAAACTGGCCTGCAAAAATCAGGTTGATTCCCTAGATCAGGGGTCCCCAACCACCGGTCCGCGGACTGGTACCGGTCCGTGGAACAAGTCCTACCGGGCCACTGGTTTGCTGGGCGCTGCCATCTTTTTTTGATGAGAAAGTGCTTCCGGTGATCTTTTCTGGGTAGAAAGCTCACCGGAAGCACTTTTTCATCAAAAAAAGATGGCGGCGCCCAGCTAATGCCGGTACCGGGCCGCGCCATAAGAAAGGTTGGGGATCACTGCCCTAGATGGCAAACCCTTTGTTTCTTTCTACTATTTCTGGATCTTTCAGCCCCAATACGGCAGCCTTGGGGTTGGCGATCTCATTTAAGTCAACAGGCCATCAGGAATCTAAATGCCTCTCAGTTGTAAGCCATGTCAACTTCGAAGAAACATAAACAGCTTTTTGCATCCAGTAAACATTTAAGATGGTTTTAGGATTAGGCCTAAAGGAAGAGACTAAGTGAATCTTGACAGAATTGGAAGAGGGAAAAAAAAAACATGAAATGACTTCCAAGGTCACCTTCCCCACTCTTGGCAAACGGGAATTTTTCTCACACCATTTATTACTCAACAAGAATCGGACTGATTTATGAAATGAAGATCTGAGCACAGCCATGAAGATCAACCAGAATCAATGAGAAATGGTTAGTTGGCTGTGGTCTAAACTCATTTCAATGCTTTGCCACAAGTGTCAAGACTATTAGGAAGGAGATTCAT